AAAAATGCAAATTACCGAACTTGATTAAACTAAATGCACAGATCGATTTTATTTTGATTTGATTTGATTGGGCAGTTTCCCTTCTTCGTTCGCTTCAGTCAGGTCAGTCTCGACTGAAAAAAAAGAAAGAAAGAAAAAAAAAAAAATTTAAATATATTTTAAAATATATTTTAAAGCAACCACATCGCATGTGCATCTCTTCGCAGATGTGTCATAACGCACGTTCCGAGGTTGACATGTAAAACTACTATAAAAGTTTGTGCTTGCCACACGAAAGCTATAGTACAATGTTTGTTTTGCTTGTGAAATACACACACGTCTGTGAGATCTAGAATGGCACATATCCGTGAGATAAGCGTGCCGCAACTTAGGCGTGCCCCTGCTCTCACCTTTTCCCCCTGTTTTCCTGAGGAAGGTTACAGTTATCAATATTTCAAGAGCAAATCGAGTGGTGAGGCCTATTTTTTGTTTGAAAGAAATAATCGGAAAATCATGACATGGTAAAAAGGTCCATTGGTAAAGTCACTGAACAGGAACCCATGGGCTCCTCTAACTGAACCAATCCGTGTTTCGTCAGGAATTTTTCTTCCTACACCCTGACGGGTCCCCGACCGCCGGTAGCGAATCAATATTGTTTTAGTCCCTTCAAGTTACATTTATCTTCACAACCAAGTATAACATTATTATATTATTACAATATATAACTGGAGAAAGAAAGTACAATATTCAGAAAAATTCAGTTATTTCACACCGGTTTGTTTGCCCTTCTACAATTCCTTTTCAATCGGTGAAGGCTAAATTCAGTACTGTAGTACGTATACTGTGTTTTAACATATCAGAAACTCTATTTTCCATGATTTCTCTGACGGAAATAAGAATATTGCAATATTTCTGCTGCAAATATACCCTTTACATGTACTTCACTTGCACAAATCCCAGTCAGTTTACAATTCGAGCAGGGCTCGTTTCACTTAGTACTCTCCCAGACAACTAAAGCGTACGTAATTACTTCATCCTTAAAACTGAATGGAGAAACTACAGTCATAGACTTGTGCCGAGTATATACCCAGTGTCAACGCAACGCTATATTTTTGTGCCGGTTCCCAGGCACCAGAGCTCCGTCGGGCACCAAGAGTGAAGACAGTCTTATTCTTCTTGTACTCCAGCTTGTACTCACGATTCCACAAGTATGTAAACATACAACTGTTAGAAGAACGCGTGTCTTCGTTCCATTCATTTGACGGCGCTTATGCGAGTGACCTGAGGGGGACATCGGAGAGGGAGTGGGAAGTATCAGGAGCAATACGGTCCCGAGTAAGCTTGGTTATACAAAAATTACTTTAAAAACACCAGAAGGGAAACTGACATTCTCGCTATATTCTCAAACACACTTGAGCTTACAGGTTTACAGTTAATCGTTAATCGCTCTTGGAAATCAACAGGCGCCCTTCAGGTACCTTTCATGCTTTACAAGCTACAATTCACTGAAACCTTTTTTTTTCTACTACAACAAAACTCCGAAATTGAGAGTGTAATGGAACGATTTTTCTTCCTGCAAATAAAGGTGTCAGAATTTATATCAAATTGGAGAGCAACGTGAACGCAATGACCAGAAGACTGGCGAATCCAACAGTGATTCTTCCAGCACCTGTTAATAAAAAAAATAAATAAAATAAATAAAAAATAGTTAGTCACTTATTCGTTCGAATCGAAAGAAAATGGACAAAGTTTCACTATTCTGTCGGTTTTTCTTTCCATTTAATCTTGCTTTTAGAGCAAAGCATGGATTCTGTTAACTAGTGAAGCAATAAGAATTTTGATCCCGGTGCAAAAACATCATTTCTGCTAAGAGCTGGAAAAATAAATATTGATATCCCGAACTCCAGTTCCAATATAATCCAATCCCCCCATTATTCAGACCCGAAACAAAAGAAGTTCATCCTTGAGCCGCTTATCTCTGAGGTCCTCTTTTTGTGCATGGCTGGAACCTTTCGCAGCAATCTTTTCAGGAAGCTAGGCAAATACACTGACCTGCACATTCACAAATTTCGCATCCATATTTGTTCTTAGCAAGACCGTCAGAGCAGCCATTAGGAATGTTGCAACCCGGGATGGCACACACATCTGAGAAAGAAACAAATTGGCCGTTCGTTAGTATCTGGCAGATGTCGCCTCTCATCAGCCTTACCTACAATGAAAATTAAGAGTTTCGGCGACGTTATGATATTTTGCCCTCACTTCATAACCCTATACCTTGCGTTCACCTCGGCCGGTAGCTTCTCAAACCAGTTCTGTTAAGAGAACACGATCTAGGTTCTGCTCAATGCATCTGTCCAATATTTTCGATATATTTTAAAATAAAAGTTTAATTTGGGGTATATTGACGACATGGAAAAATGAAGTAGTCTAAGATTTAGTAACCAAGATTAGTGCATGGTGGCGATACGACTTCATGACGTAATTCATATTTCATATTGTGTCATCGTGTCTTGTACCGACCCCAAAGGAAACTTGTCAAGGCGCACTATGCAACCCCACTCGTCCAAGTTTTATAATCAGATATTCAGTACTCCAGGGGTAACGGAGAGGGTGTGGTGGGGGTTGCGGGGG